CCACTGATGATAGATGTCTCAGTTCCCTTCCCCCCACTACCCCATAAGTCATGAGGTTTGCCAACCACCTTGACCTCTTCTGTCTCTGGATTTAGCTTCAAGTGGTACATCTGTATCTGATCCCCAGTTTTATCCAGACACTAGGTAAGGACTGAGACTGCAGGGCCTGGGTCAGATCAAAAGGAGAAGGGGAGAGGGATCAGTGTCATCAGTAATACTGATGGCACCTCACTCCCAGTCTCCATGTGATTTCATCCAGCAGCCAAGGATAACACAGTTAACGAGAAGGACAAGATGGAACCTTGGAGATCCCACAGAAAAAGTCCTGCAGCCAACATTTCCCAGACAGCAGCAAAAGCCTAGTAGCCTAGGGGAGGGGGGAAGGGGTCACAAAAGAGACAGGGAGAAGAGAGAGCTTGGGGATGGGGATGGGAGGGGCTGTTTGTTCCTCCAGGTGGGAAAACTGGTGTTGGAGGCAAAGAGAGAATATACGTAGAGGAGCAAACCCCCTCCTCTACCCAGTGCCAGGGCCATTTGCCAAGGCAGCCCCCAAGTGCCCTAATACTCCATGCCCCAGTTTTCTTGCCAGGAGGAACAAACAGCCCCTCCCCTACCCATTCACCAAGCTCTCTCCTCCTCCTGTCCCTTTTGTGACTCCTTCCCCTGCCCCCTCCCCTGGGCTGCTAGGCTTTTGCTGCTGACTGAGGAATGCTTTCAGCAGCTGTCAGAGAGCCAAGAACTCTGCTCCTGCAATTAAATTTTGCCCTAAACCTGACCCCTCAGCCATTTGGGAAGCATAGGGGGCACCACAGTCTGGGTTGGAAAATGGTGGCCCCTGCCATAATATTAGTGAGCTGGGCTTGGAATTTAAACGAGGCCCTCCTTGTGATCAAGGACTGCTAAAGATTTTAGAGGGTCAGCAGGGTATGGTGTTTCCCCTGTTTATCTCTAAATAAACGTTATTGACCCAAGCCACAAATACAGTCTCCATACTATACCCAGGACAAAAAACAGACTAATAGGGGTCCAGGAGTCTCAGACTGCCCAGCTGCATCTGGAGCTGTAGGGTTTAATAACCTTTTCCAAAAAATGGGGTTGGAGACCAGGTGGCAGCAGAAGAGATTTTTAAGTTGGGACTGGATAATTATTGACTTAAGAATGTCTGGTACCTTGCCCTCCAAAAGGGAGGCACTGACACCTCCCACCAACAGTGGCCCTAGTTTCCACTGGCTGACTTTTACAAGCCAAGACAGGCACAGGTTCAGGTCACAGCGTGTTGCCCATATCCCCCAAACACATTGTTTGCACTGGTGGGTAAAAACAAGGTACTGCACCTGGGAAGGAAGAACCAGCAGCATACCTACAGGCTGGGGAACTCCCTCCTTGTCAGTGCAGAGGCAGAAAAGGATCTTGGAGTCATTATTAATGCCAAAATGAACATGGGCCGACAGTGTGGGGACACGGTCAGGAAGGCCAACCGTACCTTGTCATGCATCCACAGATGCATCTCAGCAGGTGATCCTCCCCCTCTATGCAACACTGGTCAGATCGCAGTTGGAGTACTGCGTCCAGTTCTGGGTGCTGCACTTTAAAAAGGATGTGGACAACATGGAGAGGGTCCAGAGGAGGGCCACTCGCATGATCAGGAGTCGGCAGGGCAGGTCCTACGAGGAGAGGTTAAGGGACCTGAACCTGTTCAGCCTCCACATAAAGGGCCCTGCACCTGTTCAGCCTCCACAAGAGAAGGCTGAGGGGGGATCTAGTGGCTGTTTACAAACTCGTCAGTGGGGACCAGCAGGCATTGGGGGAGTCCCTGTTCCACTGAGCACTACCAGGAGTGACAAGAAATAACGGTCACAAACTGGGGGAGGGTAGATTCAGGCTAGATATCAGGAGGCGCTACTTCACAGTCAGGGCGGCTAGGATCTGGAACCAACTTCCAAGAGAAGTGGTGCTGGCTTCTACCCTGAGGGTCTTTAAGAGGAGGTTGGATGAGCACCTCGCCAGGGTCCTTTGACCCCAGTACTCTGTCCTGCCATGGCAGGGGGTTGGACTTGATGATCTGCTCAGGCCCCTTCCAACCCTACCTACTATGAAACAATTGAAACTGAGTTTTATAAACCCAGCAAAACCAAGTTTCCTCAACCTGAGTTAGGACTCTGCAGCTAAACTGGCATTCCCCCAGCTATGCCAGATATAAGGTTTTTTGGGGTGGGGGGTGTTTTTGTTTTTTTGTTTTTGTTTTTTGTTGTTGTTGTTTGGGGGGGGGG